CTTTTCAATTTCAATTTGAAGTGTATCACGTGAAGTTAACTTTTGGGAGTTATTTTTTTTAAAACAATATAATATATAATAGTAATAACTATTGAAAATAAAGAAAAGTAAAGCTATCAGGTCAATGGTTTCAAAATAAAAAGTTGACGTGGGTGGTTTCTTTGATGAAACAATATAAAAGTAATAAAAATAAAAATAAAAGGCTTTAAAATCAAAATAAAAAAGAAAGAAGCTACGCGAACCCTATTCTCAAGAAAAGCTCTCCAAATTTTGTGATTTTGCACTATGCTCTTTCTATCGCATTCACTCTGCAGAAGCTCCCTTTCGTCCATGTATGCTGCACTCTTCTTCTTGAAAATACCCGCTGGTAAAACAAAAAGACTTCGATCACTTTCTCTATCAAAAACCTTCACATCTTCTCTCTCATAAAAAGTTCAGTTCAAAAATTTTCTTAGAAAAACCAAGGCATTAAAGAAAACCATTTCAGATAGATTGAGTTTTTTTTGGGTTGCGCTTATTGCTGGGTTTTCTGGATGCGCTCTGTTATGATTCTCTTTCTTGGACGCGGTTTGTTCTGGATCTTTATGTGAGATCAAGTCAGTGAGTGGGTGTGACTTCTCCAAGTTATTCGAGAACACACTGGATCAAATGTTCTTTCGTAGTGTTCCTTTTTGGTTCTTTCTTGCGGGAGCCAACTGAATCAAATTTTGGAGCTTTTGGTACATCTCTTCTCAGTGGAAATTTTCAGGTTCTTTAACTGAAATATTTGGGGCTTTTTACGGTATACTCAAGAAACTCAAATCTTTAATGAATCTTTGATTTGAAGCATTTAATCTGAAATTTCTAGATCTATTATTCATATGCTTTAAAGATTTTGAGTGGTATAATCTGAATATTAAATCTCTTGAGTTGTTCATTGATTTATGGATTTATTATTAAAATTCTGAATCTGATTTTTCTATTCTCATTGTGATATTTTTTGTTTTGTTGAGATATATAGTCTCACATTGGTTGTATGTGCAACTAATGTGGAGTTTATAGGACCTTAGGCACTCCCACCCTTTGAGCTAGCTTTTGGGGTGGTGTATCCCAAGGTTATTTACATGGTATCAGAACCTCGCCGCCTCCCACTTTCTCTTGTGGCGTTTCTTAGCACAGGTAGGCTGGGCCTATTGCATTGTCCACTCTTCAAGCCCAATGGGCTCTCGTGTGAGGAGGCGTGTTGAGATATATAGTCTCACATTGGTTGTATGTGCAACTAATGTGGAGTTTATAAGGTCTTGGGCACTCCCACCCTTTGAGCTAGCTTTTGGGGTGGTGTATCCCAAGGTTCCTTACATGTTTAAATTAGATTTCTTGGTACTCATTGATTAGAAAATTAATTGTGTAATATCCAAGCTCCTTGGTGCATTAATTTTAGAGATTTTAATACATATGTCATTGGTTTAATTTTCTGCATATGGCATAAATTTGTGGAGCTTAGTTTGATATTACCGTGATATATTTGGTGTGATATGACACTGTATTTTTGGATTATTTGACTTGTTACAGTTCTAAAAAATTATGTATTAGTTGTTAAAGTGGAGTAGTTGCGTGCTGTAAATTTGTCCTAGGTGTGTGGGTGCAACCGTGTGGGTTGACGACCTTGTGCTTGGCTTGAGAGTGTGTCTCAAGGCCTGGAGCCTCGAGAATCCACTAGGGAAAGTGGAGGTCTTGTGGTAGAGGAGTTGGTGAACTCCGTGGGTTCAACTTGAGAGTATTCTCAGAGCTTGGAGCAGTGTAGGCACTAGGAAGATTTTTGATATCTTGTTTGATTGCTTGTGTGACGCGTGTTTGTAAAACAGGTACACTTGTGATAAATAAAATATCTGCAACGACTTCAGTCTGGACGTAGCACCCTACTTAGGCTTAGTGGGTGTGAGCCAGGACATATCGTGTGTCCCTTGTCTCTCTGATTTAATTTCTGAATATTTTGTTTAGAGACTGACAGTTACATTGATTCTGGTTTGAAAGTGTTGTAGCACCTTATAGGTTTTGATATAATTGTTGTAGCACTTGAACTGTTTTTTTGGTATTTGGAAATTAATATTTTTCTATTTTGATTAAGAAAATTACACTGCTGCGTTTATACTTTATAAAATCCTAAGGTACGCATTCTGTTACTACATTGTTCTTAGCATTGTGAAAAATTATTTTGGGCATATAGGGACTGAAGAAAAATTGTGTAATTGTTTATTGAATTCAAAAAGTTTTTGAAAAAGTTTAGAACACCTATTTACCCCCCTCTAGGTGTTCCGTAAACGTCTTGTGTAAGAAGCCACTTGCCCAACAAGTGGTATTAGAGCTTCGTGCTCTGAGTGATTGGCCATTGCCAAAAAGTTAAAGATCTTATGGCTTCTTTCCATCAGTATATTCCTCTTGAGGGTGGTTCCACCTATCGCCCTCCGTTTTTCAATGAGATTGATTATCCATACTGAAGACAAGGATGCAAATTTTCCTTGAGTCGGTAGATCTTAAAATTTGGTATAGTGTAGAGGAAGGATATCAGCCTCCAACTAGACTAGATGACAATGATAAAAGTGTGCTTAAAAATTACACAGAGTTTACTAGAGCAGAATTAAGGAGTGCCCAATACAACTCAAAAGCAAAGAACTTAATAGTTAATGCACTTGGTATGGATGAATACTTCCGAGTATCTTCATATAAGACCGCACGTGAGATGTGGCTCATTTTAGAAACAACCCATGAAGGTACTGTTAGTATATGGATGTCCTAGAGACAATCTTTTGATTAGATTAGGACATAAGTGGATCTTTGTATTGTCGCAAATAAATAAAAGCATTCTTTATCCTGTTTCATATTTTGTCTCGATATTACTGTTAATATTATATATGAGTAACTGGATAAACCCATTGGAATAAAATAGGTATCTCTTGAGTATCTGTGATGAGATCACGATCATGAGGATTCAAGGATACTGGATGTTTATTCCTAATTTTATGTTCCTAGTCTAGAGACACTGAGAATGGGGATCAGCGATCTCGGGTAAGACTAGCACGACTTATCTACTTGTATTTGGATACAAGGTAAAGACCTCATGAGCTACAGATATGGAGATGTCTTAGCTAAAGTCGTGGGTGGATCTATAAGGGTATAGCTCGCACTGAACAGACCCACAAAAGAGACTCTATGAGGAAATCTCACAGAAAGTGTCATTAGAGTAGTCTCTTTATATTTGGGTATGTCTTTCCTTAGACCAGAAGTTATTGCATAGACTATGTTCTAGAAGGCATGCTTTGACTGTATACCTCGTCTGCCTGAAACATGGAGACTCATAGGTATACTGTTGGGCTTGTCCTGAAAGAGCACATGGCTATGGTGATAAGCTGAAGGAATTTGTCAAATCTCTGTGAGAGATTAGGTTATCTGTAAACCGGAGAAATCGGGATGACATTTACAGGGACTCGGGAATCTATGCATAGTAAAAGAGATCATGAGATGATCTGCCTTTAGAGTCAGTAAATTGAAGATTCCCTATTTCGAATAAAGCTTACCCTAAACCGCAAGGGTTGATACGTTTCCTTACCCTAGGTTTTATGGGAAGGTAACCGAGACGAAAGGAAATACATACGGCAACCAAATATGTGTAATAGGATGATCAAGTCATTAATCTAACTAGTTCTGGGGCAACAAAGCATTGCTAGTGCTCTGTGTTGTCATTAGATGGGTTGTGGGCTTATTGGGCCCAAACCCATTTATGTCAGTGGCTATGTTGGACCTAATGGGTCACACGCTAACACCTAATTGTCTAGATGAACTAGCATTAAAGGTATTGGGCCTAATAATGGTCATTAGTCCAAGAAGTAGTTTGGAAGTCCACCTTGAGGGTGGATGGCGCATGGATCACAGTAATGGGCTTGGATAGTCCAAGACACTACTAATTAATTTAATTGGTTAAATTAATTATCAAACATTTAAATTTTGAAATTTGAAATTTGAATTTGAATTTTGAAATTCGAATTTTGAATTTGAAATTTGAAATTTGAAATTTGAAATTTGAATTTTGAAATTTGAAATTTGAATTTTGAATTTGAATGTTTGAATATTCGAATTTAAATATTTGAATTCAAATTTGAATTGGCTATGAAAAGTTGTTTCATAACAAAAGGATAAGATAAGATCTTGTTGGAACAAATCACTAGTATCAAGAGGAGATCTTTTGGACATGATCCAAGAAGATTGGGGCGCTGATTTTGGCTGTTGGTGAGTGTCATTTAGTCATCAAAATCAGCTCCAAAAAATACGGTCTGTTGGGAGAATATTTGAGTGAGTTGATTCAAGTTTGAATGCAACTACTCAAACGTATCTGGACTCCTTTTGGGACTGAATGGGGCGCACAGTATGAGTGGTCATGTGATGACCATCAGGTCAGAATCTTGATTAGATAAAGACCTTATCTCATAAAGATTCAATGGAGAGGTTGTTGGGAGTTTTGAATTGCAACAACTCTTTTATCTCCTCATTTGTTGTGCGCCACTTTCATGGGATTTTGAAGTGAAAAATCTGATTTCACTTATTTATTCCCTCACTCTCTTGTGCAATTGTGGGTGTTCCTCCTTACGGTTGTTTGAGAAAAGACCTAGCCATTCTCTCCTCCTTCCATGCGCCACCTTGTGAGGTTTTCTCTCTGAAAACATCACTCTTCTAAACACATTTGCCTAGCCTCCTCTTTCATACATTGAGCGCATAGCAAGCCTCATTGTGGTGATCAATTGGTGGTTCTACAAGAAGGAGTTCTTGCATCTAGACGCGGGTGGTGTGGATCAACGTTAGAGGGTTTGAATCCTTCAGACCTGACCTTGATCATCTTGAAGTTTCACGAACAAGGTATAATATACGTCTTAAAGCACGTATCTTGATATGCATGTGTGTTCCGCTAGCGAAAATTTTTGTTTTTTCCTATCACATGCCTCGACCTTCAAGGTCATTTTTACTTTCAGGTACTAGTGAAGTAAAGTGTTCTAAACAAAATGCATTATCTAGAAAGTTTGAGCTCTTTGAGATGTATGAGGGTGAGTCTATATTTGACGTGCAAAAACGTTTTATGCATATAGTTACTTCAATGAATGCTTTAAATATTTTTCATGATGATGAACTGTTAGTTAACAAAATTCTGAGATGTCTTACTAAGAAATGGGATGCAAAGACTTCGACAATCTATGAAGCTAAAGACCTCTCCACAATGTCAATAGCTACCTTATTTGGAAAGCTTCAGGAATACGAGTAGGAGTTAAACAGAAGGGCTAACCGTGAGCTTAACAAGAAGAAACTAAAGGGATTAGCTCTCAAGGTATCATATCTCATTCAAAGGAAAGCAAGGAAGTAAGAAAAGTACTGATACTTCTTCAAGTGAATCAAGCACCGGTGAAGACGATGAAATGACAATGTTCGTGAAAAAGTTTAACAAGTCATTCACCAAGTTCTTCAACAAAAAGTTCAACAAAAGGAGAAGAAGGGCCAACAACCCAAGTAGAAAAGAAAGAAACTCAAACAATGCTTGTTTTGAGTGTGGAAAGGAAGGTCACTTCCAAAAGGACTGCCCAAACAAAAAGAATAAATATGACAATAACAAGTTCAAGAAAGGTAATAGCAAAAAGAAGAGAGCTTACATGGCATTTTCGAATGACACTTCAAGTACTACAAGCTCCTCATCAAGTGAACAAGCTAACCTTTGCTTAATGACACAAATTGAAAAAGATTAAATTGAGGTATATTCTAGCCATTCTTCTAGTTCTATGTGGGATTCCGATTCGGTATGTGATTCTAATTCAATGTGTAGTTCTAGTTCCTCTTGTGATACCTCTTCTATGGTTGGTCCATCACATGATGATTTGTTGTATGCTTATAAGTGTTTGCAAGTTGAAAATGAAAAATTAACCTCTAAGGTTAAGAAAATAAAAAATGAGAAAAATTGATTGCAAGACAAAGTTGATAGTTTGACCACCATTGTAAATGATCTAATGAAAGACAATGAGGATCATAAAAATGAAAATATTTTTATGAATTGTCTAGTTGGATCGTGTGATGATGTGAACCCGCCTTCCACTATTTCATGTACTAAATGTGTTGAATTATCTAATGAAGTTGTTAGGTTGAAAATAATGGTTGATAGAATGACTAGTGGGAGAGACAACTTAAATGTCCTCCTTGGTAGACAAAGGGCTGAGACTACTAAACATGGACTTGGTTTTCAAAAACCTCCCTTTGCTCAACCAAGAAAGGCAAACCAATATCCTCCTAGGTTAATGTCTAAACTACCATTTAAGAAATGTACATATTGTTGCGTGAGTGATCATCTTGTATCTCAATGCAATATTAAGAAATATGGCCTAAAAGGAACTAATCTTAAGTGGGTTCCTAAGAGGACTATAAATGTGAGCAACATTGCCTCAACATCTTATGGACCTCAACCTAACATATCTAGCATGTTCTTTAGCCCCAAGGTTAAGAACATGATATATATTCCTAAGAAAACTTAGCGAGCATGTATGCATCATGTGCCATGGACTGTTTTATTTGATAAATCTTTTTGCACATGATATCTAATTGCTGTTTGGTGTTTAATATGACATGCATAGACAATTTTTAACACATCTTATGTTATATATGTTCAATAAAAATGTGCTATATGTGGATAGAAAGCTTACTTCTTGCACTACATTCCTATATACTTAAAAAAATTCTTTGTTTTACTCTTATATTCATTTCTATCCAAATAGGACAACAAGCTCATTTGCAACATCTTCCTTTGAAAAAATGTCAATTAGCAATTTTTGATGAAATATAAAAATATTGTGTAAATTAGATTACATGTTTTATATGATAAATACTTGATCTTGCTAATGTGCCTAGAAAGGCAAGTGTGGAAGATTATGTTGTAGGTGTTTAAGAGAAATTGGAAATGAATGAAAAGATGAACATAGCATTAAAGATGCTAGCAAATAGAAGGATCTCTTAGACTAAGCCCAAAAATTGCAAAGAATCAATACTTGGTACGACATGGGTAATCTTTGGATATATGATCCGTCTTTAATCCTTATTATATGCTATAACTGAATTTGATGATGTCAAAGGGGAAGAAAATATGAAAATCATCAAATTGAGTTTATGAGCATAAGCATATTGTAAGTGTGAGTTTTGAGAAGTTTTTAGAACATATTTTAATTACCATAATAATTCTTAGTATGCATATGTTTAGGGAGAGTATGTGAATACATGATTTTGATATCTTATGCTACTAACCCTTACTTGTCTCAATTTGAGTTTAAGTTGCCATCATAAAAAAGGAGGAGATTAAAGGCCTCCTAAGCATAATGGAATATATATTTTGATGATGATAAAGGGTTTACAAGAAGTCTCAAATTGAACATGAAGTTTGAAGATACAAGTGGTTAAGTATTTTTAGATATTTTATTACACACAATATTATATCATGTAGTATCTTCCTAAGCTCCAATGCATAACATTGCATTTCATGCATTTAATTTCATAGTAAATAATAATGATTATTTTGTTTGTTATGGTTAAGTTTTAAAATTTAAAATAATTAAACAAATATTATAAGAAAAATAAAAAGTAAACCAAATACAAAACAAAATAACTTTTTTTTTTGGTGAAAAAAAACAAAGTAACTTTACCATTAAAATAAAGTGCATGCATTGTTTTATTCATCAGGTCACGTGGATGTAAAAGTTGCTTTAAAAAATAATAACAATAATTTGTAAAGCAAATCAAAGAATAGCTTTTCAATTTCAATTTGAAGTGTATCACGTGAAGTTAACTTTTGGGAGTTATTTTTTTAAAACATATAATATATAATAGTAATAACTATTGAAAATAAAGAAAAGTAAAGCTGCTTACCAAAAAAAGAAAAGAAAAAAAAGAAAAGTAAAGCTATCAGGTCGTTGGTTTCAAAATAAAAAGTTGACGTGGGTGGTTTCTTTGATGAAACAATATAAAAGTAATAAAATAAAGGGGAAAACTAATATTATGTAACATGATATAAATTTTTTTACCTACTCACACATTGGTTTTCACACCAGCATTTTTTATTTTTTATTTTTATTATATATATGGGACCCACATGATTTTTGTTTGAGTAGGAAAAATGCTTTAGATCATGTTACATGATGGTAGGTTTAGCCTAAAATAAATTAATAAAAGGCTTTAAAATAAAAATAAAAAAGAAAGAAGCTACGCGAACCCTATTTCCAAGAAAAGCTCTCCAAATTTCGTGATTTTGCACTATGCTCTTTCTATTGCAGTCACTCTGCAGAAGCTCCCTTTCGTCCATGTATGCTGCACTCTTCTTCTTGATAATACCCGCTGGTGAAACAAAAAGATTTCGATCACTTTCTCTATCAAAAACCTTCATATCTTCTCTCTCATAAAAAGTTCAGTTCAAAAATTTTCTTAGAGAAACCATGGCATTAAAGAAAACAATTTCAGATAGATTGAGTTTTTTTTTTTGTTGCGCTTATTGCTGGGTTTTCTGGATGCCCTCTGTTATGATTCTCTTTCTTGGACGCAGTTTGTTCTGGATCTTTATGTGAGATCAAGTCGGTGAGTGGGTGTGACTTCTCCAAGTCATTCGAGAACACACTGGATCAAATATTCTTTCGTAGTGTTCCTTTTTGGTTCTTTCTTGCGGGAGCCAACCGAATCAAATTTTGGAGCTTTTGGTACATCTCTTCTCAGTGAAAACTTCCTGGTTCTTTAACTGAAATATTTGGGGCTTTTTACGGTATACTCAAGAAACTCAAATCTTTTATGAATCTTTTTTTTTTTTTTTTTTGGTACATTTTTATGAATCTTTGATTTGAAGCATTTAATCTGAAATTTCCAAATCTATTATTCATATGCTTTAAGGATTTTGAGTGGTATAATCTAAATATTAAATCTCTTGAGTTGTTCATTGATTTAGGGATTTATTATTAAAATTCTGAATCTGATTTTTCTATTCTCATTGTGATATTTTTTGTTTAAATCATATTTCTTGGTACTCATTGATTAGAAAATTAATTGTGTAATATCCAAGCTCCTTGGTGCATTAATTTTAGAGGTTTTAATACATATGTCATTGGTTTAATTTTCTGTATATGGCATAAATTTGTGGAGCTTAATTTGATATTACCGTGATATATTTGGTGTGATAGGACACTGTATTTTTGGATTATTTCACTTGTTACAGTTCTGCAAAATTCTGTATTAGTTGTTAAAGTGGAGTAGTTGTGTGCTGTAAATCTGTCCTAGGTGTGTGGGTGCAACCGTGTGGGTGCAACAGTGTGTCTCAAGGCCTGGAGCCTCAAGAATCCACTAGGGAAAGTGGAGGTCTTGTGGTAGAGTAGTTGGTGAACTCCGTAGGTTCGGCTTGAGAGTATTCTCGGAGCTTGGAGTAGTGTAGGCACTAGGAAGATTTTTGATATCTTGTTTGATTGCTTGTGTAACGCGTGTTTGTAAAACAGGTACACTTGTGCTAAATAAAATATCTGCAACGACTTCAGTCTGGACGTAACACCCTACTTAGGCTTAGTGGGTGTGAACCAGGATATATCGTGTGTCCTTTGTCTCTCTGATTTAATTTCTGAATATTTTGTTTTGAGACTGACAGTTATATGATTCTGGTTTGAAAGTGCTGTAGCACCTTATAAGTTTTGATATAATTGCTGTAGCACTTGAACTGTTTTTTTGGTATTTGAAAATTAATATTTTCTTTTTTGTTTAAGAAAATTACACTGCTGCGTTTATATTCTTTAAATTGCTAAGGTACGCATTCTGTTACTACATTGTTCTTAGCATTGTGAAAAATTATTTTGGACATATAAGGACTGAAGAAAAATTGTGTAATTGTTTACTGAATTCAAAAAGTTTTTGAAAAAGTTCAGAACACCTATTCACCCCTCTCTAAGTGTTCCGTAAGTGTCCTGTGTAAGAAGCCACTTGCCCAACAAGAAGGAATGCCCATTTCTAAAGAAAATTAAGAGAGTGGATAATTATTTTGTCCCTACAAAATTAACTGATTTTAAAAAATCACTTATATCAAGAATAATTGATTGTATGAATTGCTTTTACGAATGTAAGTATGAATCAATTTATCTTTTTTTTTGTTATATTTGAAATTTTTATCACTTGGTATTGTCATTTAACACTTGATTAGATATGTTAACCTATTCATAACTATCTTTTTTAAAATTATTTCATACCAAATGCATGTTCTTACTTACATCAATTAATTACATTTTTTTAAAACCTATTTACAAAAAATAACATTCTAAATATTGAATTTATATTCAAATATTGATTGTGAATAAAATAAACCCTAAACTATTAAAAAAATATAAAAATCATTAATGGGTCTTTACTTACTAACCTCCATAGTCACAGGTTCACAAACAATACTTTTCCCAATAATAAGTACTACACAAGTTTTCCAACTATCTTGGCACGGTTTTGAATCAGTTGCAGGGGGGTTACTGACTTCCTCTAAAGGGATTTTGCATGTTTTATTCAAATGAACGAAAATGCTGAATGTCACAATATTGGTTTGTTCTGTCTCCAATTTTATCTTTCTTTGGAATTAGTTACTGCACGGTTGAGTATTTTTGTCCATGGCTATAATCCAATATAGTCCACACTCCTTCCAAATGTAAATGAATATTGGTTTATATTCGTTTTATTCAATATGCAATTCTGATACATACATTCTATTCTCTCTCTCTCTCTTTCTTTATGAAATAGCATATATAGTCTATATCATCCTTCCACAAATGTTATACATGGAATCATTCTTAATTTTATTCAAATAATATAAGCTCTAAATTAGTGTAGTAGTGTCCAGCAATTTTAAAGCAATAATAATGCAGAGATTATTTCATTGCATACTTGACGAGACCAGGAATGTGTGAATTCATCATGTAGTCTTTCCAATCAATGCTGCTGGGGTCAAAGTTTAATCCCACAACCTCCAAGTTAAGGTTGCCCTTTGTTTCCCTTCGTAAATTCTCTGTGTTTGTATCATCAAATCTGTAATCGAAATTAACAAACTCAAATTTCATGAACATGAAATATAATCAAATTAAGTAGCTAGGTCGTGTATATATAATTTCTAATAATTAGAGACCAAGAAAAATTACATACACGGCCCTGAAAAACAAGTATGGCTTGTATAGTTCTACCAGCCGTTTCACCATTCTGATTTTTCTGCAGTTAGTATCATAAAAATCTTGGGAGCACTGGCAAAAAACTTTGTTGACCAAATTTAAGACCTTGCAAATAAACCAAAATCATGTAAAAGGATTAGTATATGAACACTTCAAGAGAATGAGATAAAGAATATGGTTTGTTTAACATTTAACAAACCTTTAGGGGCAAGACATATCGGATCGTCATAGAAATGTTGAATGCAGCAACACTTGTCAACAAAGACGGCTTGGAGATATTTATTGGTTTTCCATTTTTTTGGTAAGGGGTTTTAATGAAATAATTATAGCTGATATTATGAACATCTGAAATTTTGAAAGGATTTCTTAATGAAGAAGAAACATGGAAGATGAAATTCTTAGGAGCTTGATTTGAACGAGCAACAATTGCTGTGATCACACAATTGATCACCAAGTCTGCTGGTATCTGCATATCATCATCATCTAAAGTTTAGTTTCAATTTATTTTTTTATTTTTATTTTTCTGGTTGTAGCAATAATGGGGACTACGTATATCTATTTATATTTATATGCATAAACATTCATGTGAAATAAATACAAATTTAAAGGCGACATTGCAAGATTTTTAAAAAAACTGCAATCAAACTAATTTTAAACGTTAATCGTCAAAGTAATGCATGTTACTCATATAAAAGTATTGGTTAAAGTTAGTTGCTTTGAAAGAACTCAATTAATATTGAAAAAGATTAAAGGAAATTAAATGCTAATTTTTTAGATAATATTAAAAAAATAAAAAACCCGGTCCCCCCCCCCCCCCCCCCCACCAAACCAAAAAAAATGTAAGAAGTTTCTAGCATTACGAAAAACTGAAAAAGTGGCTTGAGATCTAAAAGAACAAGGTATTAAACTTTTGATGGGTCGTTCATCAAATTGATTAAATTTATAATAAGTAAAAATTGTCCGAGAAAAATATAATCAAATCCAAACATATGTGGAACTTACCGTATCTAAAATTGTGTTGGGATGGCCAAGAAAGTGTGTTATTTTTCCTTGACCGACGCCACATATTATACTGTCAAGAGTTCTGTAACCACAAAGTAAAATAATTGTTAACTTTTGATCTCTTGTCAAGAACACGAGAAAAACTTTGGTATACTAGGAGCACCGAATTCAGTGCTCTTTTTTATTAATTTTTTTTAAGACATAAAGAAAAATATAAAAAAAAACATGGGTAAAAAAGAAGAATTTTTTTTCTCCTTTTAGTAAAGAGAGACACCGGTGCACCAAAGTTTTTCTCCAACAACAAATGTCTAAGAAGATCTTGGAAGTAGTGTAATCATTTGATTCAATTCTATAAATTCAACATCTAAGTAGAACTGAAAAATTGAAATAACTTTTTTTTTTCTTTTCTTGTTTGTGAAAATTCAATCATAATCCCAAAAAAAGCATTTGGAACATTTGTGAAGGATGGATACATTAATATACCTTGAACCTTCAATCCAACCAGGAAATGGATCCTCGTACGTACTGGTTACCATTGTGGGGCGTATAATGATTAAGGGCACATTATCTTTATGATGCACCACAAGCATCTCTCCCATTGCTTTTGTGAATACATATGTGTTAGGCCAACCATACAAATTTGCTCTGCTTTTGCATTAATTCAATCGTATCGTTAAAATAATGTTAGAATAACGGATATCGTACGTAACTGTACAACACAATAAGATTTGACGAACCTTTCAATTCCATAATCTTTCATTTCATATTTTATTCTATTTTCCTCAGCATTCTTTGCTCGGAGTTCATCTTTTTTTTTCTCCAACAAATTCATTTCTGTGTGTATGTCTAATTTTGAGGTCCCTTTCAGGGTTTGACCCATCTCAAATGGTTTCTCTCGAAATATTGCTTCTCCATCCTTAGGCTCTCCGCACACATAAGCTAAAATATTAATAATATTAGAGAAATATAATATAAAATTGTTATTTTTACGTTTACCTGTCGGCTTAAACTTTTATGCTTTGTGGTATAGATACTTTACCAGTTGATGTGTGGACAAAAGCCTCCAATCTATGACAATTCTTTGCGAAGTTTAAGACATGTAAGGCACCCATTGTATTAACACCCATTGAGAAGTCAAATCTGCAGGTATAATTTTTAACCAAATGATCAAATTCATTTTCACAAGCAAAAGATTTTAATATAATAGCCTCTGATCATCACCTTTCGTCAAATTTTGTAGATGCAGCAAAATTCACAACAACATCTATCTCTTGGAACATCTCATTTTTAAGATTCTCATCTTTCAGTCCCAAATTCTCGAGAGCAACATCTCCTGCTATGACCACAACCTTCTCTGATATAAAAGATTCAAAATCTTCACCACACTCATCTCGTAGCACTCTAAACAAATCTGTCCGAATGACCTATTATATATGAAACGATTCAACCAATGTGTATATGTCATAAATATTATTATTCATATATAAAGCGTTTACATAATTAATCTATATGTTGGAAAGAATATATTTAGGATATCTTTATTATTTGTAACCTATTCCCTTATTTCATTAGGATTTAGTTTAAGTCTAAGCTAAGTCCATTAGTATTTGTATTTCTTTATATATTGTATTTTCCTGAATTAATTCAATATACAGATTTATTCTACGTTTCTCTCGTCTATTGTTTCTCAACATGGTATTAGAGATTCAATGATTGTAAGGTCACGAGTTCGATCCTCACCGCCTTCCGTTTTTTAGTGGAATTAAATAAAAGCATAAGAAGGTAAATCAAAAATTGGGCCTATGAAATACCCATTCTTCAAGCCCAAAAGGGCTCTTACGTGAGAGGGTATGTTAGAGAATAATATAAATCAGTAAAAAGATCCTCACTCAACATTTTAAGATTTTGGATTAAAGCGGTTCTTTACACTATACAAACGACACGAAAAGATTGACGATGTACCTCATTTTGCAAGCGTTGTGCGGCCAACTCAGTGTTTATTGCTCTTATGAGAAGATACAATTTTTGTGTCTGTGGCTGGATCCTTAGTATCTTTTCCACAAAAACTGCATGTACAGACGAATTCAGCGACAAGAGTGATATTTCAAATGATTTGTTACTTACTTGGCTACTTCTGTGTACACACATATATATAAGGAAAGATTCTTTTATAAATTTTTTTTGCAAATTACTCTAAGGACCAGTCATATACTTTTGATTGATTGAAATATGACTGGTCAGACATAAGAGTTTGTAAACAAAAATTTGACACTATAACACAACTTGGTTCTTACAATATCCTCCCCTATATATATATATATATATATGAGGTAGGATCTTTTGACACTAGTGTCAAATTTAAAATTTGACACCTCATCTGAGAGTCGTTAGATTAAAAAAGATCAACCGACTCTGATTTGTAAGTATATGAAATCAAATGATCTTTTTTGATCTAACGACTCTCATATGAGGTGTATTTGACATCCGTGTCAAATGATTCTACCTCTATATATATATATATATATATATATATATATATATATATATATATATATATAGGGGAATGATCCGTTTACAAACTTTTTTGAATTTTTTTTACAAATTACACTATGTTCTCCCGGGAGAACATAGTATAGTTTGTAAGAGTTTGTAAATAAAAAAGTTTGTAAATATAACCTGCCCATATATCTATATATATATATATATATATTACCTTTTGCTAAGAAGCCCGTTGCACCAGTGACTAAAATGGTCTTTCCCTTGAGAAAGTATTGTACCCTTCCTGAGTCCATTGTGAGCAAGTAAGTGCTAATTTTGAAGTTATGTGTACCAAAAAGGATGATGATGTAGTAATGCTCATCCATGCAAACTCAGGATCTTATATATATATACGCATATATCACCAACAACCACTGCTCCCTACGGTGATGGATCGATATACAAGTCATGTGGGGCAATGTGTTTCGGTACCAAAAAAATAGAGGGGATTATAAAATGTTTTTTATTTATTTTTATTCTTAGTTTTATATTAATATTCTATACACATACACACACATGTGAGATTAAAGAGAAAACATAAGGCCATAATAATTTATTTCTATATATTAAGTGAGATTTTTTTTAATACGTGAAAATTTTATATAATTTTTACTCTTCAGTTTTTACTTTTATAATATTTTCAACACAAAATTAATTATATTTTGATATTTTTATCTTACAGATTTAAATAAATTAATTTTATATAATTTCAATAATTAACATTTATTGATTATTTTGTACTCAATATAATTTTACAATAACTTCAAAATTAATAATTTATAGTGCTATTCAATGCATCTCAAGATAATCTTATATATGATTATAAATTATAAAAATAATATGAATTTCAATTCAAACAAAGTTAATATGATTTTATTTCATAATTTAATTATTTTTATAAGTAATATATCAACAGTCAATTTTAAATCCTAACATTTAGGTGTTGAAAAACTGGCTTCAATAAGGGGTGAATTAGGTTTTCAATTTTTTTTTCTTCCAAAAAGCCTCTTTTCTAAAAATGGCAATTAATTACACCAACCGCTATTATAATATGAATACAACTGTTCGATCTTGTGGATTGAGACGTCCAGCTAGAGACTCATGAGTTTTTGTATAGGATCTATATACTTTCTCAGGTATCAATGGGGGACCTTTGAACGGAAGTATATCATAGTGCACAATAGTAACAACATTTGCCAAGACATGAGATGTGTGTACAGTAATTGCTAATAGAGAGTTCTGTGAGTATTGAATTTTGGATCTTTTATTAATTTTAGGGGTCCAACTTGATCTGATAAGGATGTGGTAGCTAGGATCGATATCTTCTTGAAATTTTTTCCTTATTCTTCTCTTAGCTGTTTGCTTTAATTGGGCTTTATAGAATATGTTGGGCCCATAACAAAGACATATTATTCATTCATGTTATTGTTGGGTTTAGTATGCTCTTTTTCACTTAAGCCAAAGATAGCTTTAGTGAGAGTGAGCCCAAAGTCCAATTTTAACCCATGAAGTTTAGGGTTAGTTTTGGATTGGGCAGAGTATATAAATTCTATTTTCTCCTAGTGCCTCCTAGGTTAGAGTCATCAGAAACACACCAAAGAGGCAGACATTTATTATCTGAACGGTTGCCCACTCGACCCACTGATCCCCTTGAGTCACAGCCTAGAAGATCAACCGTAGAGCGGAATTGCAACCGTTCGTGGTGCGTTGCTGCAAGATCGTGAGGCTTGACAAGGAGAATTGAAGGTGAGAAATCGTCACGCTTGGTTCTTCACCCCAGGTAATCAAAGCGGTGTATTTAATCTTCATCGCATCGATACGATGCGCTTCCGCGTTTTTGATGATATACCTTCATGTGGTATCAGAGCCGGATTGTGATGGGGATTAAGATCAGTTTTGATTTATTTATTGTTCTATGTGATTTTGAAAATATGGCACCTTTATTTTGTATCTGTTATTGATATTCATGTTGTTAATTCTTTATAGTTCATTTTCATAAAAGTTTAAATTTTAATCGGTAAAAATGTTTTAATCCATGGTTAGGGTCTCTCGTGTATTTCTCGATTTGTAACAAGGAGGCTAATCCCATATGATTAGGTTTCCTCCTTGCTGTTTTTATTTATTTTTCGGACTTTCTGTGTACTTCTCCAATATTTTGTAAAAGTTCAAGATCGAGAAACCGCGAGGAAGATGCGCAGTCAGCACTGTCAGAGACTTTTCGAGGACTTTTCAATCTCAGAATGGGGAGATCCATATATGGTTGGAAAGAGGACGAAAAGAAGAACACAAAGGTGGGTGGATAGCCGCCACCGGATCCTCCACGCGCAGCCACAAGCGGATGCGAGTGGCCGCCACTCTCCGGCAAAGAAAGAGAGCGTGAGGGAGCGTCCAGCCACCTTTTTGGGTGGTTCCGGCGGCGGTGTATGTTGGGAAAACTCGGTTCCCTCAGATCGGCTCAGGGGCCTTTGTGAGGAAGTCAATCAACAAGATCCTGATCTCGGATCTCAACAATACCTCAGCCTGAACTTCACCAGGTCAGGCAGCGCAGCGGAAAAATCAAAACGTAAACACAAGAGAGAGAGAAGAAGAACACAACCAGATTTAACGTGGGAAAACCTTCTCCAATGAAGAAGTAAAAAACCCACGGGACCTAGTCCAGATCAGAAATCCACTATGAAAATAATGGTTACAACGAATCAAATACACCAATGTGGTGGTTAACTCAACCTCTCCAACAATGGTGGTAATCAAACTACCCTAGAGATGTTTCACTCAAAATCTCTCTAGAGATATCTCAAATGCAAAGCATAAAGCTTTACTCAACAATCAAATAATTTTTCTCTCAAATTTGTTCTCTCAAATTTGACCTTTCCTCCACCCACAACTAATGAGTATATATAGAGGAGGTGGAAATTAGGGTTAGGGTTTTAGGAAACCCCTCAAATGGGCTTGGGCTTAGCATTGAAGGAGAAAGCCCAACAAATCTCCCCCTCCGACTTCAATGCGTCGGCTTCAACATCAACCCGGCTCCTTCACAGCAGTCTTCAAATTTTCTTGCTGGAACCGGCTTCGTCATCATGTCGGACCAATTTTGTTCAGTGTGCACCTTGACGAGTTCGAGCTCTCCACCTTCCACCACATCCCGGATCCAGTGATACCTCACATCAATATGCTTAGTGCGGGAGTGATAGGTTGAATTCTTCACAAGATGGATTGCGCTTTGATTGTCACAACCCAGCTCGTACTTGTCTTGATCATGGCCGAGTTCCATGAGGAACTTCTTCATCCACAACATCTCTTTGCTTGCCTCAGTAGCGGTAATGTACTCAGCCTCAGTTGTAGATAGTGCAACACATTTCTGAAGTCTTGATTGCCAAGAGACAGCTCCTCCGGCAAATCTCATCATGTATCCTGTAGTCGACTTTCTCGAGTCGAAATCTCCCCCTAAATCAGAATCCGAGTAGCCTTGCAACTCGGCTTTGCCTTCTCCAAATCGGAGACATAAGTCTGTCGTACCTCGGAGGTACTTGAAGATCCACTTCACTGCTTCCCAGTGCTCTTTGCCGGGGTTTGACAAATACCGGCTTACCATTCCTACAGCATACGCCAAGTCGGGTCTAGTGCAAACCATTGCATACATCAAGCTTCCGCCGGCGGATTGGTAAGGGACCTTCATTATCTCATCTTTGTCTTCATCAGATCTCGGACATTGCTTTTGGTTCAGCTTTATGTGTCCGGCAATGGGGGTACTCACTGTTTTGGCTTTGTCCATGCTGAATCTCTTCAGTATCTTCTCAATATATTTCTCTTGACTCAGCCACAGTAGCTTCTTCTGTCTATCTCGGATGATCTTGATTCCGAGTATCTGCTTTGCATGGCCGAGGTCCTTCATTGCGAAGGACGAGCTCAACGCCTTTTTCAGGGCGGCTATCCTCGATTTATCTTTCCCTACAATAAGCATGTCGTCAACATATAACAACAAAATCAGAAAATCTCCAGCCTCATAACTCTTCACAAATACGCAGTGGTCAGCTTCAGTCTTCTCAAACTTATGATCAATTATGAATGATTCAAATTTCTTGTACCACTGCCGAGGTGCTTGCTTCAAGCCATAGAGGCTTTTCTTCAACCGACATACCAAGTCTTCTTGGTCTGGAGCTTGGAATCCTTCAGGTTGCTTCATATATATTTCTTCTTCTAGATCACCGTGAAGATATGCCGTCTTCACGTCCATTTGTTCTACCTCGAGGTCCATCGAAGCCGCCATGGCTAACACGGTTCGGACCGAGGTCATTTTCACCACAGGAGAAAAAATCTCCTCAAAATCAACTCCTTTCTTCTGATTGCAGCCTTTCACTACAATCCGGGCTTTGTATATCGGCTTTTGCCCGTTCTCTTTATTCTTAATCTTGTAGACCCATTTATTTTTCAAATCTCGTCTTCCTTTTGGCAACTCGGTCAGCTCATAAGTCTGATTCTCGTGCAGAGACTTCATCTTGTCTTGCATTGCCTTTTCCCATTCTTCTTTCTCTGAGCTAGTCACAGCCTCATCATAACTCTGAGGCTCACCGTCTTCAGCAACAACGGTGTATTCATCAGATGGGTATCTCGTAGAGGGTCTTCTTTCTCGAGTTGGATATCTCGGCTGTTCTTCAGCTTGAGAACCCGGTTCATCATTTTCATCCCGGAACTCATCATCAACTCGAACCTCAATGTCTTGGTCATCTTCAGCTTGTTGTTGGTCATCAATTTCTTCATTCTCTTGATTTTCTCCCCTGCTTCAGCTCGGACAGGAGGGACGGTTTCTTCGTGTCTGACAGTAACCCGGACTTTGGGCTTCGAGATGTCATGAATGTTCTCATGCTCATGAAAGATCACATCTCGACTTCTCACGATCTTCTTATTGATTGGATCCCAAAGTCGGAACCCGAACTCACATCTCGGCGAACCAAGATAAATGCATTCTGTAGTCTTTACATCAAGTTTGGCTCTTTCATCTTTAGGGATATGCACGAAAGCTCGGCATCCAAACACCTTTAATTGATTATAGGCCGCTTTCCGACCTGTCCAGACTTCTTCTGGAATTTCTCCTTCAAGTGGCCGTGATGGTGAGAGGTTGATCAAGTCAACAGCAGTTTTGACGGCTTCTCCCCAGAATGATTTCAGTAACCCGGTATTGGATATCATGCTTCGTACCTTCTCTTCAATTGTTATGTTCATCCTCTCAGCCAGTCCATTTAGCTGAGGTGTCTTG